GGACATCCATATAATATCCAACTTTAGGGCCGTGGCACATAGAAAAACTTAAGCAGTAAACAAATTGACCAATCACAGTCGTTGATTCTTGGACCGTAAGAAGAATCAATGACTGTGATTAGTCAATTTGCTTACTGCTAACGTTTTACTGCCTAAGTTTTTTGTGTGCCACTAGCCTTAAAGGCCAAATCATACTAGCGATTGGCGATTGATGATTGACGATTAAGGATTGGAACTTGACCAATTGGAACAAAGCAAGCCAAAGTTGAAGCTTGTTGATTTATCAAAATCTAATCTTCAATCGTTAATCGTCAATCGTCAATTGCTAGTGTGATTTGGCCTTAAAGGCCACTAGCGATTGGCGATAGATGATTGACGATTGAAGATTGAAACTTGATCAATTGGAACAAAGCAAGCCAAAGTTGAAGCTTGTTGATTTATCAAAATCTAATCTTCAATCGTTAATCGTCAATCGTCAATTGCTAGTGTGATTTGGCCTTAAAGGCCACTAGCGATTGGCGATAGATGATTGACGATTGAAGATTGAAACTTGATCAATTGGAACAAAGCAAGCCAAGGCTGAAGCTTGTTGATTCGTTAAAATCTAATCTTTAATTGTCAATCGTTAATCGCCAATTGCTAGTGTGATTTGGCCTTAAGGTTAAATTCCATATCCGGGTGTATTCTATTACTAGAAGTGCTATAGTATATGTAACATATAGTATATGTAGTGCTATAGTAGTACATGAAGTACTATAGTATATGTAACATATAGTATATGTAACATATACTATAATGTTTCTAGTAATAGAGTGCACCCGAATGAAGAATCTGAACTCACCTCAGAAGGCATACGCAATATATATATGCTCTAAGCGTTCAACCGCGAACGTTTAAAATGGAAGTTCCTAAAACGTTCAGTAAACGTTTAATAAAGGTGCAAATTCATGTAGCGAATAAATCGCTGCGATCGAAGGTCACGTGGTCATTTGTTGTTCACTAGCGAGTGATCGCTATTTGCGTTTTACGACAGTAATTTAATGGCCACGCTGACTCACATTGTATACGTACTTATTGTGTAAAGCGTCTTCTACAATAGCAGTAGGAGTAGTAGTAAGAAATAAGCAGTAAGTAAATAGACCAATCACAATCGATTATTTTTGAAACGTAAGAATGGAATTGGTCAATTTGCTTACTGCTTATTTCTTACTACTACTCCTACTGCCATTGTAGAAGACGCTTAAGTACTCATATAAGTGACACGTCCACGGACTAAGGAATAAGGAGACGGAGGCCGGTATTCATAGTCGAATCTTATTTCAAGCCATCTTAAGTAATGTCTTAAAGTATTCATAGTCGAATCTTATTTCAAGCCATCTTAAGTAATGTCTTCTCTAATAGCACAGATGTCCAGGGGACATCCAGAGGACATCCTGAGGACATCCTGAGGATATTATTCGTCCTGAGGACGTCCTTAGGACGTCCTCAGGAGATCTTGTGCTGTCTGGGTTAAGATGCGAATACGGCTCTGTGATTGGTTCATGACATCTTAAGACAGTACTTAAGATGATCTTAAATATAAGATCGGACTATGAATGCCGACCGGAGACTAAACGCTTACTTTAGGCGAGAGGGGTATACACTCAGGCATGTGGGAGGAACTGCTCGTCGCCATATTGGTTTCTATCATCTCACACATAAGGTACGATCTAATAAGCGCTACAAATGCTTTGTAACGTTTTTACTTCTTTCTCTTTCTTCATTCGAATCCGAGAAATAGAACAAGAAAGAGAAACGCTGCGCAGCATTGTAGCGGTTACTGGACAGCGCCCATAGACATATGTCAATGATATTTCCACGTTCGCTATTTGGTATCTCGGGCGGTAGCGACAGGTTAAATAGCGAGTAAATGCATGAGATACTTCGTAACTAATAAAAGGACCCATGTAACAATTGAAAATGAACTTAAAACGATCATGAATGCAAGATCTGACTGTAAATGTCGTTTTAAACTCTATTATTTTGAGATTTCGATCTACTTGACGTTACAAATGCTTCGATGAGTTAAATAGACCGCAATCTTTCATTTCACATGTACGCTAGTATGAATTCTATGTGTGCGATAGGAGAAACCAATATGGCAGCCCTCTTCTCGCCGCGAACATGTTTCCCCGCTAGCTCTTGTGTTCCGTCCTTCTATTCCTTATGCAAGATTCACACTGCATCCGATGTCCGACGTACGACGTCCGATATCCAATAGAAGAACAGCTTTCTAATATAAAATTCAATTCTCCATTAGAAAGCTATTATTTTACTGGATATCAGACGTCGGACATCGGACGCGGTGTGAATTCTGCATTATAGCATGTTCGTCGACTGGTTCTGGGTTAACCCATTCTGTTATTCAGCTTATGTTTATTGGTGAACAAATACTTATAAGCTTTATGATTGGCTAGTAGAGACTTATGACGTCATTAATCGCTCTCAGAGCCAGGCTGCGTTCCGAAATGTACTGCCAGTACTGAAAATCTATAGTTTTGTTACGTATATTATAGAATTTCATTATTGGCAGTGAATTTCGGAACACAGTCCCAGTCGAACACGCTATATGTACGTCATTGGCCTGGTTTACATCGTGCACTTGATACGCGTACTAAATAGTAACTTTCTATTAGATAATCTTAATATCGACGATATATATAAACAACGGTATATTAAACTGATATAATACTCATCAACAAAACGTATTGTATTGATTAAATGCGTGGCCGTTGATATGCATTGTAGATATTAAGATTATCTAATAGAAAGTTATTATTTAGTATCAAGTGCATGATGTAAACCAGGCCTGATACGCGTATCACGTGCACGATATAAACCAAGCCAATTGTGATTGATTAATTTCTTACGCTTAAAGCTTACTACACCTATTGTAGATTGGGACTTAGCCTAAAGCGCAGTCTACAATAGAAGTCGTAGAGTCGTAAGTCGTAGAAATTGACCAATCGCGATCGAGTATGAGAAGAATAGTCAACTATAATTGGTCAATTTCTTACTTTTACTTCTTACTGCTTATTGCCATTGTAGAATGAGCTTTACATTTAAACTTATATTTAAATTGCAGTCGCGGCTAATTTCAGATTGGTTTGTGTGACTGAAGTTGGTCGTAAACTAAAATTTAATCACGCATTTTAGGTTATAGGTTTAGTTGTGACACTACTCAGTGATAGTGACGTTTTGCACGTAATTCGAATTTGTCATCGGGACCTATCGATGATATTGTCATCTTTGTTTTACATTTTATGCTGCATGTTACATGCTATTATAATAAAAATCGATAATATGATAGTCAAAACTTGATTCAACAACAATGTCTAAATTAAGTGGATTACTATTGTATTCCTTATTAACCATCATTGCTTCAGCCGTACGTATTGTATATTATATATTTTTTTATATATGTATACACTAATGTTTTTCTATATTTATTTGTTTCATTTATATGCCTATATATTTTAATAGAAACTGAGACTTCACTCAAGAATAGTGTATCATTTCAAGATTTATTAAACTATATTTCTTATCCTTTTTTTATTGAAATGTTAAATAAGTTGGAGTATTTAACAGATTGTCAATTTAATAAGATTATAAATTATGTTTTTTTATTGCAGACTTTAACTGTGATTTCTTCAGTTCCTCATTGTATAATACGTGATCATGATTTAAGTTTTGTATACAATTTGACACATTTATCGTCAAATAATGAAGATATTATTATCGAACATCCTACTGAAATAATACGTATGCAATTATGTTCTCCATTGAAACAAAAATGCAATAATCAAGATGGATATTCAATATGTTTAATACAAAACAAGACTGAAAAGGGAATAGGTAATAATATAATTTAATATTATATTATAATATAATTTAAATATCTTGTCAATTATATTATTGAAATAAGCCCAAAGAAAATTATTTTATTCATGTAAACAGGAAGGTTTCCTCCACAAGTAGCTAATGATACTGGAAAAATTGTATTTAATTACACTGGTGATGTTTGCTCTTCTTCAAGTAATTATACAGTACGTGTTATTATAAAATGTGATTATAACACAAAAGATTCGAGTCCTGAGTTATTTCCACATGTGAGTAAATAATCTTTCTTTTGTACATAATATAGTGAGTATTAATAATTATAAGCAATGAAAATACTTATAGAGAGATGAGGAGTGTAATTTATTCATAATATGGAAAACAGCATTTGCTTGTGGACCCAGAACTCAAACAAATTGTAAAGTTGTCAATAATAACCAGCATTATGATTTAAGCCCTTTAACAAAGTTTGAGGACAATTATGAAATTCACATAGGAAATGAAACATCACTCAAGTTAAATGTCTGTCATTCTGTAATACGTCAGCATGGTTCTATGTGTCCATCTAAGACAGGAATCTGTTTGGATGATCTTAAAAGATCTAACAGGTAAATATAATTATAATTGTTGTTATTTAAACTACTTGTTCATATCATCTTCATAGTTATATGTATATACATACTTATTGTTACTTGTCATATTGTTTCAGGTATTTAAGTTTAGGTGAAGTACAAAAGCCTCCTTTCTTTGCAAATGAACATTTGCAAATAGAGTACCAGGATGGTGGGTTATGCAGTATACCAAATATTCCAACACCACACATCAAAACAACAATCACATTTATTTGTGATTTGGAAGCTACGGTGAAATATAAATATCAAAACTTTTTATTTTATATGAATATATATACGCAAAGTATACATAAAGTAAGTTTATTTAATGAATATAATATTGTTAATAGGAAACCATTCCAGACTATATTGAAGGACGAGAAAATTGTCATTATCAATTATTATGGTATACTGCTGCAGCATGCAGTGTCGAAGCTTTGCGTGACCATAGTGCTAAAACAGCAAGCAAATGTACTGTTACAAATCCGCTTACAAATTTCACGTAAGAACAATTTGATTTTCTGACATTGCGCGATTTAATATTTCCAATTAACATATCTAAATTGACTGTGTATGTTATAACTTGCAGATATAACTTGCAGCAGTTAATGAACAAAGACTTTACTATTACAAACAATTCGAGCAATATAAAATACAAATTCAGAATATGCGGATCATTTATGGATAATATATGCAAGACTAGAATGGGTGCTGTATTTTATAATTTAACTTGTTATGTGTTGTTATGTGTTGTTTTTTAATTTCACTTGTTACTTTTCCTATGTAGGAGTGTGTGATTTAAAATATGGTGAATCATTGGGCCAAGCTAACGCTAATCTAATATGGCAACAAGGTGGTCCTTATTTAAATTATACCAATGGGAAAGTATGTCCGCAAACTGGGCTGAATCACTACACTATTATCAGATTTTTCTGCGGACCAGAAGGATCGACCAATGCAACACTTCCCATGGATCCCTGTCAGACTGTTATACATTTGAATACGGAACTAGTTTGTGAAAAAAGAGCAAGTATTTAAAGAACATTATTTATTTTACTTTATGTCAACGTTCATGTCGATTAAACAACGTGGTATGCATGCCACATGCATTTTATTTTTGCCTTCTTTTCATTGGAATAATAAGAATTTTTTTCTTTGTTTAGATTAAATGTGCTACCGATAATGACGATGAGATTAACTTAACTCCTTTAATACAATCTACAAATAATTATATTGTGAAAGCCAATGACACAGAGTTTCACATAAATATATGTCGACCACTGGTTCCTACTCCTGGTCTCACATGTACACATGGCAGTGCAGCTTGCAAAGTGTCAGTAACTGCACAGGGTGAATATACCAATGAAATTGTGAGTATAAATATTTATCTGAATAATTATGTCGGCTCTGCAATGAAAATATAACGAATTAAGTCTCGATAATATTGCACTTTTGTAATCAAACAAGTAATTAATAATTTAACAGAGCTTAGGATTTCCCAAAGACAGCCCTACATTAAATAAAGACTTACGAACAGTATTACATTATTTTGGTGGATCAAAGTGTCCAGACAATCCAGCTAAATCGATATCTTCAAATTTCATATTTATTTGTGACAATAACAATCAGGTAATAATGTATATACTATATATGTATGTACAACATATGCTGTATACTGAATTCACTAATTTAGCATATCTCACGTGACCCTACGAGTTTTTTTTCAGGGACTTCCAGTATTTAAACACTTTGTTGATTGTACTTATGTGTTTGAATGGAACACCAGCATAGCATGTGGAGCAGTGATGGGAGCTTGGACGCCACCGTGTGCTATAAAAGATGGTTTTCTTTCACATGAATATGACCTTTCTTTGCTGCACAAAAATAAACAAATATATTATGTGAGTTCTCCAAGTACATTCCACAAAAGAATTTAAAATACTTAAAAATATAAATAGTACAGTAGTAGCAAAATTATTATACACTGTGTGTTATAATAGTGTAGATTTATTTTCTTACGACGTAAATGTAATAAGAATTCTTATAATAATAACGACTATTTCTAAATGTTCTATGAATCAGTTTAATCTCTTTAATAATTTTCATTGTTATTCCATAATTTGCAATAAATATATTATAGTTATTTATAATTGTAGGTGAAAGGTAAACAAGATAAAGAATATGGTATAAGTATTTGCGATGGAGAGAAGTATTGCAATGGTTCCGCCGTGTGTCATCAAAACAACGGTTACGGATCGCTGGGAAGTGTGATTTTTGATTACAGTCGAGACGATATAAAACTTAAATATATAAATGGCAGTAAATGTAACAACAGTAAGTAGAATTATTTCATTAATGTATTTATAACTCATTTGCAATTGTATATCCAAGTTATATATTTCTGTGACAGATTCCTATACGTCCGAAGTCAGATTTATATGTAACGAATCCATGGGTATCGGTACACCAAAACTGCTATTGGTAAGTGAACATTATTTTGAATTTTATGGAATACAGTATTTCTCATTGTGAATCAGTAGTAACTACGTAACGTGTGTGTCCAAGTTTCCTTTTGCACAATACAGATTCAATCTTATCCTAACTCTCTCTTAAAATGTCGAGGCAAAGCATTATATGATTCAAATTTGTATTTTTCAATACCCAATATTTACGTCAATCATTTTCACCTATAAATCTGCATGCAGATCTGTATGCAGATCTGCATGCAGATAGTATACGTATGCAGACATGTATTTTTATACTTATATACACAATATATAGCATACTATATTTTCGTATTAACATAGAACTGTTTAGTAGACTTTAGTAGATTACTTAGTAAATGATAAAAACTTATAAAATAAAGAAATAAAGGAACTATTCGAGTCACATGCAGACAGGGAAGCAGAAGCAATAAGCGGTGTCACAATAATATGCGCCCATATCTCTCTCCACTTGTTCCACCAAATTCTTTATTGTTGATATATTTTAATTGATTTTGCTCTGCCATCTGCACTTTACTTGATAGATCTTTCCACTTCTTATTTTATAATTTTCATGCCAAAATATTAATATAATATACGTACGTAATACCGAGCTTTACACGAGGTCTCCACGCCTTTTTCATATATAAATATAAAACCATAAAAAAATTATCAAAACCGTTAAAAAGCCCGTATATGAAGAAAATGCAAGAAGTCTGAAGTGCTTCGTACTATATTCGTTAATGTATAACATGGGAAATATTTTTTAAAGTAAATTATATAAAGTAATTGAGTTTGTCAGGTACATCGGTTTTGCTAATTTAAATTATACAGGTTTTATCTCTACCATTATATCAGTGTTTAATAACATATTTCTTTGGTTACTTTGGAGTACAGTTTTTTTTAATTGTTTAGATATGAGTAGCTTTAGAATGATAAATGATATAAAAATAAAAAGTTCTTTTTGAACTGAGTTTGATAAGTAAACAACAGCGTTGATGGATTAGAAACGAGACAACCTGTATAAATTAATTTTTCACTAATAGTATTGCGCTACATACACTAACAAGTGTTGTGGTTGAATAAGACATGACGATACAATTCATTACGAAACATATTCATTGAGTATTTCTTTTGCTTATGCTATTAAAATACATCTGAAATTCTCTTACAATATTGCGTAAAAAAATAATTAAAAATAACACATTAAAAATAACACATAACATAAAAATTACGTAATAGTACGTGATATTTATTATATACGCGCGACAAAAAGTACCAATTTACAACGGTATCATCAAATACCGTTACAAATTATAATATTTAAAACGAACTCTATTATTCTAAAAATTGCTTAACTTCTTAAAAATAAAATTGCTTAATATTCGATAGATATAAATTTGTTTCTCACAAGTCAATTATTTGTTACTTTATGTATATATTTATATCTATTTTTCTCTTATATCGAATTAATATTCTTAAGTATGCGTGCAACTTGAAGATTCTAAATTAAGATCAAATCTTATAAAGAAGAAAAAATATATCAAAATACCTCGATCGTAACGCTCACACTATTGACACATTGATAGCCATGTTGTTTTTCACAAATTATTTCAAAACTTAATTAAAGTTTGAACAATCAAAGTTACTATATATATGCATATATATAGTATAGTAAGTATTATATATATATGTATATATATTGTTGTATAAGTACTATATATACATAATATATATATTTACAATACTGTATGTATATACAGTATATATATACCCTGTATATATATACTGTATATATATACCCATACACCCCCGTACATATATGTGTATATATACACATAGTATAGTATATATACACACACATCACACATATACACATATACATACATATATATTTGTCAACTAATTTTATTAGTTCCATATTGGCCACACTTTTAAGACTCCATTCAACGAATATTCACCACAAGTGAAAATCTATAATTAATGTTACGTATACTATAGAAATTTTCAGTATTAGTAGCGAATATCGGGATATAATCTATGTCGTTAGACGCGATTAATTGCGCTTTATGACTAAATGAATGAAACGCAGTGAAATCGTAGTTCCGGTCACCAATGACCCTCATGGCAAGTAAGATGTTGAACTATTTACAGATAATCGTCAGTCATTATTCTCCACTCGTACTCCACGGGTACTAGCACTCTCATCGTGCTAACAAACAGTAGTACACTGTGGATTATCAAGTACAGCAAGTTTAAACTCTCGCGTAACTGACGGTTTCGGTTCAAAGATTACCGCGATTTTGCCATTCGATTTAGACGATTCATGCGAGCATTCGATGTCCGAGGGTAACTGTTCATCACATATGAATGTTTTAAGTGTATCAGCCGGCGGTGTTGTGTTCGCCAGAGGGGTCTCCGGGGGTCCTACCGGATAAATCAGCTCCTTCTTGTCTCCCTCCATCCGAATACACAGTTGATGATTCTCAAAAATTTTCCGGCCGGCCGCGTTCACGGACTTTGGCGGATGCGGTAGCGCGTATCTCAATTTATCCCAAAACCAAGGATCGCCCCATTTGACGTAGGTGTTCATACTAATGTACGCTTTCAATTCAGGATCCATGTCGTCGGTAGGGCCAATATCGCCATATAAGATCAGAATTACTCTTGCTCGACCCTCGCTTAACGCCTGGCTGTGGGCAGCTCGGAATTCCATCCTCCCCCAAACGCTCTCCAGGAAGTTTGGTGATAACACAACTATTGTCCGTCTCGAGTCCTCTACGGATTTGGCGATTTGCGTCGGTATCCATTCGCCCGCTAACCAATCTCGATAATGCAAGCACAGCTTGAACGGTTTCGGGCCACTTTCCAATTTGGACACCAGTTCGTCCTGTACGAAGCTCTGGTCTCTATGCGAATAGCTTATGAACGCGTCGTACAATTTCTCCTTGTCCAGCTCCTCTTCCGTTACGAACCACAAACACCATTGGCGCGCAAACAACCATACTTTGATGTTCTTCTGATATCTATAATAAAACCCGAAAATACCAACAAGTATTCCTACAAATGCGATCACAACACTGATCCCGATGAACAGTTCCGTTTCACTGGGGCAAAAATCGTTCACGGTCATCTGCGATATCGAGTAATTCTTGCCGCGACACATCACTTCCGGCAGTTTGAGAATTTTCTCGTATCTGGTCTGCACGAAATATAGAAAGTCCTTAGTCTCACAATTACATTCCCATGGGTTTCCGTGTAACGTCAACCGGTTCAAACTTGTAGAATTTTTCAAGAATTCCAACACGTTGGAATGTATTCTCGATATATTATTATTGTGCAGTTCCAAGACCTAGAATAAAATTCGAAATTAATGTGTTAATTCAAGTGGCAACGTGAATTTTTATCTTTCGTGACTCACTTTATTCGACATTATGAACAAAGTAACGTAAATTTACACACCTGTACTGCATCGGGCAATCCATCCAGGAAGATCTCGGAAATATTGTTGTGAGATAGATTGATTAACTTCGCTGATTGAAGTTTCAACTCTATCAAGTTGGGCATTTTCTTTAGCACGTTGTTAGAAAAATCTAATCCGAGCTTGAACGGTCGACCGGGATCCTTTACGTCACTTGGCAATTGAGTCAAGTTCTTGCCAGAACAGTTGATTTGGAATGCTTTGTCTTCGGGTCTCAAAATACAGTCGCATTCTCTGGGACACGGAATGTGATTCACATCTTTTATCATGCATTTGAGTGTTTTTGACCGTAGGTCCGTAACCTTTATGTTCTCCAACCATTTTGGACCGTGACAAGTTAAGTTACCCGGTATTATATGGAAGAAATTTTGTACGTACGGATGCATTCTACCCTCAATGTAACGTAGAAATTCATATAAGAAGCAATCACATATTAGTGGATTGTTCTCTATTTTTATTATCACGTCACGAGGCACTTTTTGAGACATTGCGATTAACTCTGCATGTTTTAATAAGATATGCTCTATGTTATTATCAGTCAAGTCAAGTCTTAGATTATTTGATATAAACTGTAAATCGGTAGCCTGTAAGAGAATAAAATCCACAATCAGGCATTATTATCAAAATTTATCACTTACAATATGTATTATGCTTCCACACAACACACAAAACGAATACTTACTTTTAAAATAGATATATTGTTATTTTTAAGATCCAGTTTTCGGAGTTTCAAGAAGACAAACATCCAGTCGCTAAATATTATCGAAATATTATTATTAGCTAAGTACAATTCTTCCAATGAGCTGCAGTCATGAAAAGGCGAGTAGTTTATGTCTTTAAAATTAAACTGAGAAGATTGTAACGTTAGATGATTGTTGGAGAATCTAGCGATCCTTAATCTCGTCATAGGGCTTAAACTTTTATGGGAAATCGTTTTTAGCTGATTATCTTCGATGTTTAACTCTATTAATTGATGCAATCCACTGAACATATTCCTAGAACATTGAATAAGAATATAAAGGGTGTAAATAATAGTGCATACGTGTGTGTGTGTGTGTGTGTGTGTGTGTGTGTGTGTGTGTGTGTGTGTGTGTGTGTGAATATCGTTCATATAATATATATAATAATGATATAAGAAAAATGTACCTTGTGATGGAGGTTATTCGATTTTTCGACAAATCTAATTTTACCAATTGATTGGTAGTCGCGAAAATATTAGCAGGCAATCCTTCGAGTTCATTCATATTTAGTTCCAATGACATCAACTGTTTCATATCCTGGAATATACGCTGGTCTAAAGATTGAAGGCGGTTTTGCGTGAAACTGATATTAGTCAGCGAAAACGATCCTTGGAAGAGGTCTACCGGTAATGTAACAAGTCCATTCGACTTTAGTTTCAACACTTTCAGTTTCGAAAAATTGCTGAAAAATCCAGGCTGCAATGTCAAATTGACTCTGTTGTTGGAAAGAGTAACGGTGTCCAGTTTCGTGTTATTTCGTAGCAGATCTCTCGGTAATGTTGTGAAATAGTTACGAGATAAATTAATAACTTCCAGATTCTCCAGTTTTGCGAAAATATTCTCTGATAAGTTGACCAAGCCGTTCGTATTGATATCGAGGCTTTTGAGAGCGACGAGCTTGTCGAAGATCCCCGCCCGAAATTCGGTTAAATTGTTTTTCCACAGATTGAGCAGCTTCAATTTCTTGAGATTGTCAAATGTGCCTGGTTCAATCGATTGCAAGTTATTGCCGCTTAACTCGAGGCGCTCTAACTCGGGAGTATAGTCGAAAAATTCGGCGGGTAGATTTATGTTGTTCTCCATTAGATTGAGTTCAGTCAGGTTGGGCAAATGGATCAGCAGATCTCTGTCCAAATGGAATATCATATTGTTCGATAAAATCAGCTGTTTCAAGTTGTCAAAGCCATCCAGATGATATTTCGTTAGCTCGAAACTCAGATTCTTAAACGACCGGAAAATCAGCTTCTCTACGCCGATGACTCCCAGCATTTGCGTGATTTTGCCCAAACTAGTGTTACTCGGTGGTAAGTCGCACCAGCGAAACCACATCGTCTCTACTGGATTTCTGTCCAGGGACACCATGTTTACATGAAAATCCGACCACTTCGGCGAATTGGTACAGTCCACCTGTATGTGTGAAAGAAAATATTCGATGCAGACTTCTTGAGTCAGTCAACTTAAAGCTGATAAGAAATGTGTAAGATCTATGTCTAGATGTATCTATATATATATATGTGTGTGTGTACGTATAGATCTCGTATCTAATTTTCAAACAGATGTAAAAGATTCCCACGATTAGAATCGTTTGATATCTATCACAAACGTGCAAATCTCATATAACTACGCTTAGACGTTACATACATGACGATAAAACATTCATGACTCCGAACCTGTATAGAACGACCTGGATAGATGTGCACGCTGAAGGAAGAGTTGTTTTCTAACTCGCAAAATATCCTGAAACTGTCGCTGATATCCGGACGACAGAAGCATTCGTGAACTTCGCTGCAATCAAAAGCGAAAACGCTAGTCCCAATGACGGTGAAGATTACGATACACCAGACTAGACTATGGTTAATCATCTTTCGAGACTTTACGACCTCCATAATCTGTGTGAAGTACCTTGAACAAATAGCAAAAACAAATTTATTTATCACGTTATCACGGCGCATATCCAATTCGCTTTCGACTCACACTTTTGTCTTAATCGCGGACGTTAAGAACACCGTGAATATCGTAAGCACCGTGGCTTAGATAAACATTTCCTCTTGTCACGATAAGCTCGCTAATAATATTTGGTATGCTCTGACATACTGCGTAGTCATAGGCATCACCGCATATAGAACGGAATAAAATTTACATCTGAACGCACTTTTTTCTATATTTTAGGTAAGAGAATCTTGTTAATAAAAAAGGCTAAGTTACTGAGATAATTATGCATGTAAATTAGGCAAGCGACAGGCTAGATTTCACGATTCTCGGTATTATCGTAACAAAGCATCTTAATGTACATTTATTCTCTCAACAAGAAGAGTCTTCCCTACAACATCATCTTATTTTTTATCACACAGGATGGGGCACAACGTTCATCCATCATGTTTAAAGTTAAAAGTGCCCCACCCTCTGTATTTTATATATTGTAAGAGTACAGTCAGAAATCGATTTTCTCTTTTTTTCTTCTCTCTGTTTTTCTAACGTAGATAGCAAATATTTATTTATCCTGTTTTCTGATAAAATTTATATTCCGATAGAGGATCGATAAACTTTATTATATATAGATCGAAACAAGTTATCAATAATAAAGATATAATAAAGATTACATATTAGATTAAAGTTTTAATTGAAAATTATTTTATATATGATATGTCGAATGCAATTATAATTTTCTCAAAAATCATTTACCATGGAAAAATAGTCGATAGATGTAATTTTCTAAAGGTAGATTCTATAACGTATAAATTTGTCTTTGTTTCGTAATATTCATCTCGTCTTCGACACATATATCTCCTGCCTATGATTAAAAACATGAGCCTTACAGGTCATGTAGTATTGCATAAATCGATGCTCATACTCACGCAAATTACCGTAATTGCTGTGTGGACATATATTCGCAGAATCGTTGTTTCAGAATGAGAAAAGTGATAATTAATTTATTCTTTTTTCAATGCGTTAACTTGAGCTAGACTTAGTATTATTTAAAAAAACATTGACGTCATCTTAAAGCTTGGCTAAAACAAATATCATACACGAAGTGTATTGGAATTTCCAGTCTTTACTGTAACGATATTTCAAATTTTTTAAATCGATTTTTCTTAAAGTTGAAAGGACAAATGCAATATAATATAATAATGTTAAAAAAAATTTCGTAATTAGAAAGTTTTTAAATCGAAGACAAAGCAACGATTACAATGTATTTAGTAATGTAAGTGGACATCGTTACACCGTGTTACTAATCGACAATCGCATCGCGATATCTCGGATGATTACACAAAAATAGTTCCGTATACGTTATCATAGAACTACTGTATATTATCTTTCATTCAAAAACCATAAATTGCACGAAATTTCCACGAAATGGACGTTTTTTTGTTTTGTGTATTTATTTCTGTGCGTTTGTCGTGTGTAGATCGATACTCATAAATAGACATTTCATTCCGCACATATAGATGAATGATCTAATTCGCATAGGTCGCAGATAATACAATAATAGAAAAAATATTATCGTTGATAATACAAAATAATTTATTACATCAGCGTGATACTTTTTCCATATTATTACAATAGTAAAGAGGAACACGCTTTAACTTTTCCATTAATGTAATATTAAGGTGATGCACGCAACTTGTCGTATTTGTAAAATAAAATCGAGAACAGAAGCATACGGTTCCAAAATATTTTTTTTAATCGACATAATTATTATGTAACTAAAGCGCATTTTTTGCCACGCAAAAAAGATAATATATTACACGATAACACATGATCTTTACATGTTGATATCTCCCAACTTCCTTTTTTTCTTTCTCTCTCTATCCTTCCCCTCTTTAACCCCTCCTCTTTCCTCTCTTTTTGCCTGCTTGTCTTTTTCTATTGTCTACGTGTACGTAGACTAACTATCTTTAACGAATTCCGGAAGCTATACCTACACAATGTATCTTTAACGAACCTTTAATGGATTGTTCCAACATGGAACATCTTATTAGAGTTATCTCTTTGTATAATTTTGCTCTAATAGCGTGTCAGCTAAGCGAGATTATTTGAAGCATATGTAGCACGTGTTTTAATTAAATTAAATCTTCGTCGTGAGAAGAATCGGTCAGTGTATGTCGATTCAAAGTTCACGCGATTAAAATGATGCGATTATTAGTGCATTTCGTTTGCGCGATTCGATGCGAATTGTACAACGTTTTTCCCTCGCTTCCAAGTTCACGCTTACGTTACATAAATACTGCTGGAGTTGGAGATATCGGCCGCCATGCGTGAACGTGCTGTAAAGTCGCAAACTGTATCCGGGTACTCCTAGAAGCGCAACAATTAGCTGCCTGTTCTTTTTATCTGAACTTCTTTGCCGTTCTCTTCTCCCTCTACCTCTTCTCTACTGAATTTCAGACAGCACATACTTCTTCAGAGATACGGTACATCGTTTATTAGTTGATTCTTTATCAACAAATATCGCAACGCGATCAGAAGAATCGTCATGTGATGTACAGGCGGCTCAGTTACGTCACGATCGATCGATTTTCTGTATATAGATTTCTACGAAAACTGCAGCACGCGAGTCACGCAGCAGTCGTGGCAACATTTTTACATTGTTTCGATGCTGTGTGCTCGAGCTATGGCTGGAGGCTTTATTAACGATGACACATCCTGATCCGCCTGCCTGCCGATCCTGCGCGCGCGCACACGAATTCAGGTTGTTTACGTCATACAAACAGGTTCCACTTGTGCGATTTCTACCGACCGCACGGTCGAAGCGACTTTGAAAACGGTAGATTTTCTAGACTTGTTTTTTTTTACATAGATAAGAATCTGCTTTGCACCACGGGCAACTGATACAATATCCATCTATTTTGATCTAAAGTCACTCGCACAGAGTCGTCTATAAACAGAGGAGACATTAGGCACTAAAAATGTGCCCTATAGGTGATAGACGACTCAATTTTTGGCCTCGCATATCGGACGATGGTATCGACGAGGCAGTGCCTTGAGAACCGGTTCGTAGAAATGACGTCCGTGCTCATTTACTCACCAGACACAGCACGCTAAGTTGCGATCATTGGTATTTCGCCTCGCGTTATCCTCCTTTTTTCGTTTGGCAGGCAACCGATGATTATTCCTGATAGGCGGTATACCACTCCGAGTGACTGTCACAACAGCATACACACAGTATGTTGATCCTCCAAGCTCACTCTGGCACTTCTAACAATCTCGTTTCCGCTCCGACCGCACTCTTCAAACTTGATCGTTATCACCTCTCTCTCTTTTCCGAGGTGTGTATTAGTTCCACCTTAAAGACATTGTGAGAAACGCGTACGTTTGCTAAGCACACGGACAGTCGGTCGGAGTTGTCAACTGAACGCGCGACCAAGCAATCCGAGGCGGACTGACATCGACTGTCGCGAGTAACGAGTGTCTCTCCCGACCGCGCTCCTCTGTCCCCTACCTCTTTTTGTCCACTATCAGTCTACCGTTCAGAGTAGAGAAAAGAGGCCACGCGGCAAGGGACGGCAATAATGCGTGTGTGCATACACAACGACAAGCTTGGTATAGTCATACCGTTATCTTGTATAACAATAACAAATGTATATGTTCAACATTAAGCTTACAATGATAATAGTACCTCACACTGATCACAGGTCATCATGCGAATCTGCAACTACGCAAATAATCCGAACCCGGGAAGATTTAATAAGGATTAGTATAATGTAACGATCCTAACATTGAAATTGTGAACTCTATTCTTGAATGAAATGATATGACGAATCGAAGCGGTGCGTTGCACTTCGAATTCAATGCAAATATTTGAAAGATAGTATACCGCATACGTATCTTTCCGTTCTGTACCAAACGATAAGAACGTCACCCATACGTCATCCCTGTGATAAGAGTAGAAGGTCTACATGCACTTGAAACGTGATGCATATATTACACCAGTATTACGCATTACATTCTAATCCTGCTTTGGAGAATTGGATATTGCAGTTGTTTCTGATTTTGCGAAGAAGTGGTCACAGCTCCATGGGATTGATCTATAAGAAAGAGAAACTAATCGAATCGGTTTGACACTATTACGATAATAATCGATAACGTAAATCTTTGCACACTTACGTCTCAGATATCGTTAACTAATTGATTTCTTCTAGATTTCCTTTCCTTGTTTTAACATTTGTTTTAACGTTTGAAAATTCAACTTCATTGTAAAAATCGGATTCAATCTCCGGGCTCATTTCGCGAACAATATGCATATATGACATCGATTATTATTTATTATGAAAAGGAATAACAAAGATGATATGGTGATATTTAAAAAAAGACATGGCAATATATAGGCCACAAATAGTATACCTTTGGCTATGTGCGACAGGTTCCTTTCTAGTTTCTCTTCAACGGCGTGCATCTGCGGGTTTTTCCCTCATGTTGGAATTACCACCGGAGGCTGACGAACATGATTCAAACCATTGAACCCAGGTTCGGAGTAATATTATATGCAAGATTTATAATCGCTTCATAACCACATTATTATTACTGCACCCCACAAGACAACCATATCTTTGGTGGTAAATTACATTCCCTGGAAACTCTATTACAAAGATATTACCTGGCACATTAAGCTTAACACACTTGCTTCAGTTCTCCTATGGAGTTTTTTTAGATTATCACCATCTTCTCTGCTTGATTTTGCATTTTTAAATGACAATTTCTAAATTCTGTTATTATGGACAATTTCTAAACTCTTAATGACTTTGTGTGATTACACGTGAACAGATGACAGTTTCAGGAGAAGCGATTAAATTTTTTGTAGTCTCATTTCATGCACTGGGCAACGTATTCTTAACAATGTAAGTTGCATTGTGCACACCATTCATTTTTGGACTGAAGTACTGAAAAACGTCAAACTAAATAAAGCAATTATTCATTTTTATCGATGAAACATATCGATATATGTAAGCGTCGACGTTCTGATCACGAATCTTCAGAAATTGTCGATAAATTATTAGTGTAAATTAACAAAAATTTCAATACTATCAAATCTTGGTGATATGTACATATCATAAAGTTGTGAAATTTTGTTTATTTTTACGCATTAATTAATAAATGTTAATTAATGTATTGATACCACTAAAATGTCTACATGGATCTTGTATGAATAATAATATTTGCACATTTAATATCTACCGCACACGCAAAGTATGTATAAAGTATACATATAATTACGAATGATGTCTCCTGTGCTTTCAGTGACTTATCCTGTATAGAAATTTTCGCAATTATGCTTCCAAATTTTCAGCTGCGTAGAATATATATGTGTGTACATATATTTATCCAGGTGATTAAGATTGATAAGATTATCAAAATCCGTAATCGGTCACGCGAATGAGCATCCAAGTGATTATCGGACGTATCACCAGATGAGATCTGATGTGGAATTCGCCTCATCTCTTTGATATGTCGTCATTTCTTCTTTTTATGATTTAGGAATTGCAATGCAGCGCAGAATTCGAGTGGCACACCGAAGTGGTTTGCGCGAGGCATGCCAATTCTCAGAACGCTGGAAATACACTGAATCCTAGTCAAGAAGAGTCTTCTTCCAATACCATCAAAAATGTCTCTAGTTATGGTAAACAGCAGTTTTTGTAATATTGGCTTACAATTATGATGAAGATACCGATGTCACTACGTTTCTGAAACAATAATGTAGATTCAAGATGAAAATTGCAACAGTCAATTATGAGCCGCTGGTTTGCTGCTCATAAAATAATAGTATATATCACATTGCAAATCTAGTATCGTAAACATTTTTTTATAACATAATGCACCAATTGTTTCTATCGTACACGCTTGTGTCGATATATTTCAGACAAATAATAAAACACGTAGTGAATCCTGTATCTTCCTATAGAGGCCACAATTAAGATTTCTAATGGGAATACTTGAGAGTTGAAGACGTCGTTCGTCAAATAGCTCATCCAAGCTATTAAGCTTATAATTCTATTGCTTTTTTATGCGACCTCACAATAATTAATATCTGTGTTTACAGTTATAACAGTACTGGGCGTCATGCTAATTGTGATCGCGGTGTTAGCTTTGCTCTATTTCCGTAATCTGGAAACAAGAGCGTGCTTTCGTACCTGGACGAATATATTTAATTTCAGAAGAGGCGCAGGTCGTGTCCAATATTGTAGGGTACGTTATTATATTATTACTTCTTCTTTTTTGCTTAAACGTTTGAACTAATTTTGCCGGTCTTTTGTGCGCTGCTGCGCACACACCTGACGCATATTCCTTCTTTATCGCAGGTCGATACTACTGAGGAAGCTAGACTTCTGCTCGATCCTTCCGATCCCACGCAATGTCAAACGGACAGTGACGATGATCTTCTACATGCATAATGATACAATATTATTGTCATTGTTTTTGATCGAGAATTAACGTGTAGTTATTGTGAATTAGATATTATTTTCAATACTCTGTATAGAGTACGACAAATAATATATCTTGAAAAACATGCGAAATAAAATTATGAAATTAATTAAATACATTTTTTCGTGATATATTTGCGCTTACGAATTCCTGTTATCTCCACGATTTCCTCTATTATTTGATCCTTTGTTTTCTTTGCTTCTATATAATATGGAGTAATGATAAATAACGTATGCAAGAAATTAATTAGGTTAAGTAATGCATCAGTAAACCATCGTTGATAGTTCAGAAACTCACTCTTATTCATCCTTTGTTTGATCCTTTGTTTTCTTTGCTTCTATATAATATGGAGTAATGATAAATAACGTATGCAAGAAATTAATTAGGTTAAGTAATGCATCAGTAAACCATCGTTGATAGTTCAGAAACTCACTCTTATTCATCTCCAGTAAATTTTGATACTTTCCAAAAGTTGACATCTTTAATCATAAATATTACATCAGTGTTGGAAAAAAAAAAAAAAATATATATATATATATATATATATATATAACGATGAATAATGATCTTAAATATGTACATGTAATGTATAACATGCTTTAATACATTTACAAGTACATACATAAGTACATTGTGTACACACAATACGTATGCAATTAAGTTTTATATTTCTTAAATCTATGAAAAGGAAATCTATAAAATGTAACATTAGTTTCAACTTATTTTAACAAGAAACATTATTAAATTTTATTGTAAACTTAATATTAATATTACAGAGGTAATTAAATCTTATGTTAGTTTGATTTGTGGATACTACGTAAAGAGAAATCAGAGTATTTTAAATTTTGCACAAGAAGTACTTTGGTCGCAATTTATACAATTCTTTTATGTCTCATCTTGTTAGATTATATAACATACTACTATAATATAAAATAATTACTCTTGATTCATACAGCTAAATATACTTATAAAGCAAAGAGTAAAACGATAAAAGGGTAAATTGTAAATATACACAAACGTAAGTACGAGACGCAATGGACATCGTAGCGTTATCTTTTTGTTTACCTGGTTTTGAGACACATATATCTTCGCAATCTTCATCTTCACATAAATCACACAAAGTTGTTCTTCTTGGCTCATAAAATACCCTTGCTCTTCTCGCTGCAAAAATAATACAACCAAAAATAATACATTTTAAAAATTTAATTTAGTACTAATTATTGTAACATTAATTTTAAGTTTCATAGTTTAATAATTTAATAATCTCATACATATTTTATCTCAGTATATCTTTTACTTATTTTAATTGAGCTTTATATTCACACTCTTCACATTTTGCATTATAAGTATATTCTAATTTCAGAGAACTAAATTTTCTTAGTTTTAGGCGTTTTTCCCTCTCTCACATTATACAAAAATTAAAATGTGATCTATAAAATATTTTAAATTATACTTACACGAATCGTAGTAATCATATATAGAAACAGGAACTGGTTTCTGCTTAGCTACCTTATGTACCCTGAATGCAGACACAGTGGGGCAATATTCTTGTTTCACCATCTGTAATATATAATAAATATTCCATATATTAATCGTATTCTTGGTCGTATCTTTATGCAAACTATTAATTAGTAACAGATCGCGATTGATTACATGTGTAATAGTATAGAGTGTAACCTACCTTGTCAAAATATAAGACTACCATCGTGTCACCATTTTTAGTTTCTACGCGCTTCACATGTGACGATATTTCTAGACTTGGTAAAGAATCTCTATCCACTGTAAAGCCAGAGGGTAGGTTCACTTCCATAACAGCCATATTACTCTCGTTCGCTTCTTTGGTTGGAACAAATCTGATCGCAAATAATTAACGCTACAGGATTGCTGATCGAGAATCAGCGTCTTCGTTTTTTATATTGTTAAAAAATCATAATTTATACATCTCGACTGGTTCATTTAACCAACAATATGATAAAAGCCTAAATTTCATTGGCTTGATAATAGTAAATAAACACAAAATATAACAATGCAAACATACCCTGAGCATATGGAGAGCTGTAAATGATTAGCATTGGAATTTTTATCTACTTGGGGATCCAAAGTAAACAACGGCCAGGCGCCGGTTACATTCAAGTTATACTGATAAGATACTTGCATTAACGTGAACCCTTTACCAGATGCCGTTATATTGACTTGGCGCGTTTTCTTCGGTAACTATGGAGATACGCGGATATTAATATTTGTTCGCCCTAAAGAAATATATGCAGTAACACCTAGTTACTTGCTTCAACTTACTATTTGCTTCTGCAATATCATGGAATTACCACTATTTATGTTCATGTAGCCCTGACCTTCCTCGTGTTTGAACATGAGCCGAACATTAGGGATCGAACTTGGGTCACTCGACAATTTCTCGGCGAGTTTCGCCAATGCTTGAAGTCCGATTACAGTATCCTAAATTATTTCAAACATATAACGTTATATCTTCGAGTTTTAGCATTATCAATTTTAGACACGCACAGCATATTTAATAAAAATAATAGCATTTTAAGAGTAACTTACTTGTGTCGAAGCAAAGCCGCCTTCTGGATTTCTTTGCTTGATGAGCCATTTCATTACTGGAATTGCGTCGGCAAGTAAGTTACGCCTGAGATATGAGAGTAAAGCGTAAGATGTCATCTCGACATCGACGGAACGCGGTAGAGCATAGTGCGGGTTTTTGTCGTCCTTCGGCACAGGTTTGCTCCACCATTTAAGACCTTGTTCCGTCATAGCTTTCGATTCCAGATAATTAAATGCTGACGTCTCGAACGGATGCTTTGCTAGACTCAAAGCGTAGGCGCATAAACTTAATGCATACGTATCGTTTAACTTCTCCATATTACGAACTACGTAGTCAACAGCCTTGTTTATTGTATTACGATATTTTCCTGTGGAATCCTGTAATTAATATGTTTGGTTAATTTTACGTGAAGTAGCAATGTTCTCTCTATAATTAAGGAGTTTATTCCTGAACCGTATCAAAATACATATCCTCGAAAAAATGAAGAGATAACGTTAAACAACTGTAAAAACTTTGTAAAATAGTATATATCTTATATAATACTTTTGTTTATCAACTTAAAGTAACTACTTATCGCGCTTTTGTGCCAATTTGTTTTCGACTCTACTATTCCACATTCATTTAGTAGGAGACTACTTTGAAGGCGACATCGTTCATATTACTCCGAAGTAATCTCTTTCTTACGATATAGACAAAAGTCGAATATTTTTGGGAAAAAATCCTCGTATATAAAAAAGAAGCAATTTTATGCTGTATCATTAGTAATAATATTTACCTGATTTTCAAGAAAACTGATAAGTGTATACGCTGTTAGAGCAAGTCCCTTCGCAGCTCCGCCTTGCATATCGCGATGACTCACTTTTCCCACTTCGGGGAAGGAGCCGTTTGTAGCTTGATTGTTTGACAACCATTCCAAAGCTTCATTTATTATCCTGTCTTCTACTGTGATATATTCTGCTGCTTGCTTGAAAGATTTTGCTACAAAAGCTGTAAGCCTAGTAAAGGGAATAACTCTGAGTTTTTAAACTAAATTTAAACAGCGAATATTTTGATATATACGTGATATAGATTGCTCAATAATACGCTGATTTTGTTGCACACATACCATGTACTTCCATTAGGATCTGACATACCAAATGCACTGAAAGAACCGTCAGTATGTCTGTAAGTCAATTCTTGTTGGTAGCCAATGTCCAAATACTTCAATGCTTTACTTTGCACAGCTTGTGTTAATTGATTTGTATTCTGAAAAAAAGTGTGGTTTTAATGCATCGCGTATATCATGTTTATATTATTAACAATCGTATATTTACATATACAGAAATGCATTAATAGGAAAGGAAATATTATTTACTTATATGTATTACCATACCTTAAGATAGTTCAAAACAACGATGTTCGGTACAAAATTTAACATATTCTGTTCGCCGCAACCAAATGGCATTCTTATTAAATTTGCCAAATTCGAGATGCTAGGTCCTAGGATATCACCTAAGCAATGTAAAAGAAACATAATTTTTATCTAAATATTCTACAGAATAGATATGCATATGTATTATGTGTATACGTATATTATGTTAGAAAATTTATTCTGGTTACCATTTCTTATCGATTAAAAAGTTTAGCTTCCTAAGATATTTGTGGGAAGTGGTGAAACATTTTTATATTAAAGATAATGTAAATTAAAATATATTATTACCAACTGCAGATATATGAATACTTTCGGAATCTGGAACGGCATTACTTGGTATATCAATAGTAATATTTGTTTCTGCATGATCAACGTTCCTTAAATCCAAAAATACTGCTTTGTTCCTGTATTGTGTTTCTCCCTCAGCCTTAAAATATAATAATCTTATTATTAATGTTTACCATAGCGTAATTAATACAATTATAATATATCAAAATTATAGATTATTACATTAACAAGTAACTTATGCTCAACGCTATCACCAGCCATAACGCTGCTAGCAGTCACTTTTATATCGATATATCCCAATTCTTTTGGAATAATCATGAACGATACACTAGAGCCAGAGTTAGCTTTCACATCTACCTTCTTCATACGATATAACTCCAGTCCTAAAAAATTGACAATTTCATCCTTGCCATATATATTAATATGCATAAATGACTATAATTACTATAAATGTAAATTACTATAAATTACTATAAATGCTTTTAATTGTCATTCTTTTGTAGCTGTAATATTGTTATACTTACGTGATACATCATTAACTTCATTAGAAACTTCTGCAAAGTCAAATTGTTGACCCTCGTTCTTTAGCAAAACTTCAGCTGTTAAGTCTTTATTCATATAATTAAAGACCGCAATTTGTACCGCTACAATTTCCCCTCGTATTACCGAGTACGGTAAATCCACAGATATAAAGAATGGTCTAAACACTTTTAACTAAAGAACAGATAATAGATAACAGTATCAGATTTGCTGACGATGCAACATAGGATTGATCTTTTCAATGATCATAGGATTGAATCTTTTCAATGTCATGCATGATGGTTTATGATAAAATAGAATGGATAATGATCGATATGGAGAGTATAAAAACCTTTCTAGGCTCCTCTATGAGACCCAATCCATGCGCATCGTTCAAGGAAAATGCTGTCACCACCCATGACGTGATGGAATCTGGTACTTTTCGTCGCAATTCGGTTTGTCCAGTACGTCTGCAACATATGCACATATATAAATATAAATATATGCGCGCACACATATACACGCACATACGCTTAATACCTTTATGACAACAAACTGAAATATTTAGATCATTGAAGACATATCTTGTACCATAATATAAAGATAAACTAAAATGTATCGCATAATGAAATACTAATAAAATGACTTTCGAAAATTGATTTTTCGCACAGTGAAGAGAGATTATGTCACATCTTTCGATGAAGCAACACGCATACACACACACACATATACAAACAAACAAATCGATTTAATGTGCAAACTTTTTAAATTTTTAGATTTCGTCCTTCACCATTAAAAATGCACAGATGCGTGTTTCATATAAGTGATGTAATTAGCAAAGAGTCACAAACAATTGTCTGTTCATTCGAGAATGACATGATACGAAACCCAGAATTCGTTTATCTATAACTGATATGCATGATATAGAGGACAAGCTGTGTATTGAAACTCTTAATTTATATTCTTGAGAAATATCAGATCATACCTTTACCTTAACTCTCACATAATGAGAAACTGTACAATTTCACATATACATTATTTACAGATGCATCGGGTGTTAATGAAGTATTCCGACAAACAAGACAACTTTAAAACTTTAAAACAGTTAATTTTTCTGTATTCACACATTATCTGACATTTTCTCATTTATCTCAACGAATACACTACAGACACGTGTAAAGTTCGTACTAATCATTTCCGTACACCATGTGTACACGAGTACAAAGTACGACATACAAAAGCGTGCATAAACTAGAAGTATACAAGATACAAATAAATACCCTGAAGAGAAGTTTGCGAAAAACCAGGTGTTTAAGATGTCATGCATTAGGAATACACGGGGCTTATTCCAAACAGGAGGTGGGATGCGAGAGAAGGCGTAAGGACCTGCCAACGGTGGTCTTGTTGCTAATCTGTGCGTAACAGGTGGACCAAGGTCTGGTCGAAGCGTGGGTACCCCTTGAGGCGAGCCCGTTATTCTACCATCCAGAAATTCGGATCCTGCAATCCAATTCTGTATATTGCACTACACCAACCTCGATCGGAACAAAATGCTACAGAATTACTGTATTTTATATTTTATATTTCTCAATAATATAAATTAAGAGATATACAACTTGTTCTCTATATCATGTATATTAGTTATAGATAAATAAATTCTTAATTTCGTATCATATCATTCTTGAGTGAACAGAATTCCTTCCTTTTTAACGAAATTTTTAACTCATAGATATTTATGGTAAAACTAAACATTACATATCTGTTAAAGTTCATTTCACGAATCTCTCCAAATTTTAAGTTACTCATTAACTCAGAAGTTGTCAAAATTTGGACATTGATACAATTCTTTCTAGTTGAATTTCTAATATTAGTGGTAGTAGTAATTCTGGAACATTCTGCTTATACAATCAATATCATCGAGAGGCGTTACGTAATAGATCATTCCGTATCATGTATATTTACCAAAATTATGCTTTGAGAGAACGCTTTTTTCTTATAATTTTTTATTAATTTCAAGTTTCTGAAATGTAATTAATAAATATAATATTCAACATATTAATTATCTTATTCGAGGAATAAACTTTCACCTAATTTTTCATAAAAACTAGGAAGTCATGTTCCAATGATGTTGAAATATAAGTTAAATGTGGAATGATCTTAATACAGAAAACATTTAGTATAACAAGATAAATGAAACTTTGTGCTAGACTATATATCCTGTAATAGAGAAACGATATAAGTTTCACGTGTTAATAATTATGAGAAAATTCATTATTGTATTTATATACATATAGAAAGTTTTTCCCACCACCATAAATTATTCAACACCACAAAAATCTCCCAGCAACAAGCTCGAACACATCGATATTTTCATACAAGCGCATACGGTATTTATATTTATATTTGGAAATAGTATATTATACAGTATAGATTGGTATTCAAATTCCCTTACATGACTTCTCTCTATAAAAAATATCGTGCTACCATGAGATATATAAGATAAAAGATTAAAGGCACGTTAAAGACACTGTGAAAAAGTATGAAATGACAATTGCGTTTATTATCTACTTAAAAAATGAATATGTAAGTAAAAATAATCTACAATTTAAAAAATATATAAATAGATATGTATAGAAACGAAAATGTGTGTGCACACGTGATAATTTATTATGTCGTTTGCATTACCCAGCGTCAAGCGTTTGCCAAAGCCAAGTTTCAGGGAAATTCTTGCGAACTTTGACCTTCTCGGGTGGTAATGCAGTTGGGCCTGAGGATTCCGCAGCGGATGCAAATATCGCGTCATCCAAACTAGATCGGAAGTATACTACACACATACAAGCTTGGTTAAAAAAATATATATATGTATTTAGTCCGATTGAGAGAGATGACTCGACATTAATTAACAAAACAAATCGAAGACAAAGATGTTATTCTCATGCTATATATATATGTATATATATTATATATTATAATAATAAGTAGAATGTAGCGATCCAATGTGCCATATAATTTATAGGGCAATTTAAAGGTACATTTAACGGAGGTGTATATTAGTATTTTATTGTATATAATATAATATATATATTAATAGTAACATATGTTACTATTGCATTTGAAATATGTACCTCCATACTTACGTTCGATGTGCTCATGGACGTACCCGTTTGTGAGGATTACCACGCCAGTTCTCTATTGGATACATTTTTCATCTTAATACGATCAACGACTAATGAAGAGTTATAATATGAGGTACATCGCGACATATTTTACCTGAAATATATCATGCGCTGTGCCTGAGCCGGGTCTCCATAGAGGAGGACCGAAAAACGAATCTGCATACGGTGAGACATCTGTCCAGTCGTACGACTGCAACTCTTTGTATACTTGCTCCTATAAACGTAACGAGTAGCGGTCAATACTATTTATTATACCGCCGAAAGAAAACTAATTATATCAATACCGACTATCAATTAAATTTAGTTGTATACTTAAGAAATAACACAATACGTACATGAGAAATATCATTTCCAGATTTTAGCAGAATGGATCTCTGATCAACACCTAACAATCCAATATAAGAGTCTGGTTTCGCGGAAATCATAAGACTAACGTCATTTCCAGGCTCTACTTCACCAGGCGTGATTTTAACATCAACCTACAGATATATGTGTGTAAATTAAATAAATTCCCTTATCAAAATATTAATTCAACTAGCAGACTTTCTACTATCGTTCGTCAAATTATGGTTTCAAAAAAATGCCATTGATATCTTACAAAGTTCTGCAGTGTTCCTGTTAGTTCTATAGCCAACGAATCCGCTATTATTTCTCCGTCCGTTCGCACGTAATATACAATTACAAACGCAGTAGGTGCCATGACGTATGTTGCCAAAAATCTGAAACGTTTCATTTCGTAAGATATTGTGTGTGAGCAAATTCCGAAATCTCTTTGATAATTATCTTACTCAAAAGATGTCGTATGTTTGTCTTGCACGTATACCGAATCCGCATGTAGAATATCACCGCGACTAAATACCTCGTAACTTATGTATTTCAATGGCGCGGTAGAGTTCACCTCGATTTCAACCTTACCATTTACCTTGGAACATAACACATCATGAGACCCAAGAACGCTATATCATCAGAAAGATGTTTAACGTAATAATAATAAATTTAAAATATACCATAGGTTTTTCCGTTTTTAGGTTCGCTTGGATGTATTCATTGTTCAAGGATCTAGCTTGATTAGTCGAAGCGAACCATTCGTGAAGATTTAAGTATTGTGCCTGTGCAAATATACACGAATGATTGCGTATTGTATATATTTGTAATATAATATAAAAAGATTTTATTAAAACTGATTTTACCTCTATGTTTAGGTGATAAGACATATCATCTTTTGCATTAGGAGGATAAAAATCCAGCTGCACCATGCCATGTTCATCTAGCATACGTGTAATATGTGTGTAAGCCGATTGGTTGTACGTATATGCATATGCTATCAGAACAGGATTTTTCGTGTCCTGCACCGGTGATCCGTCGTGATATGCCAATTTTAGCTGTGAAAGACACGTGACGATATGTATAAATGAAATGCTATAATTAAAAAATATTCACGTCTACTGATGCAAACTATAATGCGCTCACAAATGCGGTGTATTTTAGTCCCGGCTTGAAGTACTTCGAAGTTTTTATCAATTCCATTGTGTACTTGTGTTTGTGTAGCGTTATTTGCATCGAAGTATTTTGTCTTCTACTAGTTAAAGTTTCTTCCACCACAGCGTCAATCATGATGGGTCTGTCATATTCATCGGTTAACCTACATAGTAAACATATAATATATTATAGACACATTAACATATATAATTTTGTAACATATAATTCGGAATTACGTTAGGAAAATCAAAATTATGTTGAGACTTTACCTCAATTCAGACTTAATATCAAAATCAATTACAACTTTTCCGTCAATCGGCACAACTTTTCTCACGGGTTGCTGGAATATCGGTTGGATAACACCAGAAAAGATGTCCGGATAAGCTGTTATTGTAGCTTCACCTTTCACTGGTTTTCCGTACGTATACCTAAATTATGTGTATTTAAAATGAATACTTTGATATGTTCAATATGTATCATTAAGATTTTACTTGTAAGTAGCTCATTTTCACACACACACATACACACACACATGAAACACGAGTTGCTTACTTTGCATAAATAGTTACTGTCACTTTTGATTCTTTGAATGTTGAATGTTTCGGCGAATCAATTGTCACCTCAAAATTCGGTAGGACATACTCTGCGACTTCGAACGCCTTTTCAAAAGTTTGATCACCCACATTGGCAATGATCTTCCAGTTACCCAACACTGGCGACTCTGATAGCTCCAATTCGCTGCTAACGATCCCGTGAACTACCGATGGCCGAATCCATTGTTTGATACGGTTACCGTCGCCATCCTGCAAACGATTTTTTAATCAGTTATTATCTTACTTTTGCGACAACTACTTTTTAATGTAAAAAGATTTTTTCAATCTAAAAGAATATTTTCTAGTCTAAAAATACTTTTCATCCAAGAGTATTTAATTATGTTGTGCACGTGTATGCAGGTATATGTATGCAAATTATGTATTATTTATACAAATATAAGCAGCATTACTTATATATCTGCAAGAATACTTACAATTATATAAATATCCGTCGGCCCCACGATACTTGGTCTTAGCCTCGAGTCCAATACTATGCAGCGGAACAAAACTTTGTGACCGGGCTTATAAATCGCCCGATCAGTCTGGATAAAGACGGAATAACTTTTATGTATATAATCGATGTCTTTTGACTTTTCGAAATTTATACCCGCCAAGCCACGCGCTGTGAGTTTGTATTTCCCCGACGTGATCTCACCAATCTAGCGTTGTAAACGAAATAAATAATATCAGCGATAAATATCTAAACTTTAAGAAATGTCTCTCTTTCTTTCTTATTAAAAATCTGTACGTACGTCTAATTCTAAGATCTTAGTGGAATAAGGTTCGACGACTACAATGCGAGAAATGTTGAATATTTTTCCTGTATCAAGTTCTCCAGTCAACTCGATACGTATCGTTGATGGTGTTGATATGCCGGTGATACTCGCCGCAACATGATATTCTGAATTAGGGCGTACCACGTTTGGCGCAATAATCGTGTAATACCTTTACGGAGAATAAGAATTCCGATAAAGTCAATAATGTAGTGCGATCGAGAACAAAATTTTTACATACAAAATCATCAAACACATTCATACGCACACATTTAATTAAACCGAAAAATTGATTATCTTTTACAGTTAAGGACTAATATATCAATATTTGTATGAACTTACGGTTCCGCGGCTATTACATTTGATATTATTCCTGATAGAAGTAGAATACCAAGCCACTGCCAATCCATGTTTCAAGTAGAAAGACCTAGAGTTCACAGAGAAAAAAATGGAAGCTCTGTAATGGTATAATGATGAAAAAGGAGGCTACGTTCTAAAAGAATCACCTTTCCAAAGTTTTCTCACGTCATTATTAAAAGATACACATCAAAAAGTAAATTTGCACGACAGCGCACGGTTTTCCCTACAATTACAATATAATTGCTAGAGCTCGTGATATAATAATAGTAATCATTCGAAATGGTTTTCCACGAACGCATCATAAAAACAAAAATACCGAAGATAACGATAGATAGAATCAAACGTAAGCTCAAGAATGTTTCCAAACGTCATGAGTAATTAGATGCGGTCATGTGCACGACACAACGTACAGTGTATGCACAAGTGTCGGTACAATTATATATCATTGTGTAGTTTTCTCTCTTTACGAAATTTCTCGGTTGTTACAGCATCGGTTTTTCCAGCATTGAATGAATAATATATCGTAATATTCGCGATAGTTATCGTCATAATTATTTTCTAACAATTAAAAATAATAATCACGGACTAGTAAAAAGGAGGCTTGGAAATAGATTATGAGTCATTAAAGATTATGAACACTTGGAATAGCCATGTTTAATCGTGTCACTAAAAATTGGGGAATATCCTCGATAAAATGAATAAAACATTTTCCAATGTCTCACATCCGTATAAATAAAGCACTGCTTACGCAAATCGTCCGTGTTTAATCTTTAGACTATCGAAAAAACCACTTTTATAGCTCTGTACAAATCTCAAAATTCTACGCCATGTATGTTACTTATATAGAAAAATTTTTGAGAAAAAGAAACTTTTTTAATGAAAAAATGCCGGCAATCTAAAGGTTAATGAAACAGATTTTTCGAAGAGTTATATAAACTTTAAAACTAATTTTTACAAACTCATGTTTCGACGATTCTTATTTATTATTATTTCTTATATCTTCTATTATTCTTATTTATTATTACGTTTTACCAGTCGACCACTGTTATACAGATCGATGTAAATTCGAAACTGGTGGAATTCAATAGTATCTAATGCTCCTGCACTGTGCTCCATTTTTCTCGTGGAGAAACAAGATGTATAATATTCAGACCCACTTCAGATTCTACTTTTATAGTCATAATAATTTATGTAATCTACATCTTTAACCGTAAATTCGTGCGATAAAATCTTGACGCGAGTACGAACAAACTATATCTATATTATGATAAAAATTGAAGACATCCTTTTTATCGCCGCTCATATTATACGAATCAACATTAAAGTCTAATGGTACTTTAATAAACTATTACATATGCAAGAGTAAATAAAAATCATGTTACAGTTAGACATACAGATTATAGCGAAATCCTCAGCATGAAAGTATCCGTACTAAACTACTATCCTACTTTCCATCTGCTTACTTCACAAATCGAGGAGTCGACGAATTTGCGTTGATATTCGCCGCTATATTAAACTCGACAGTCGCAAATATAATTTCAGGTGTATACGACAAATCGTTGACTTCCGAAAGTATCATGACCGAACCGTCGCTACGACTTTGGAACTTTCACCCTCGCGGAAGCAGGGCAATCGTCAATGTGAAAATGAACGAAGTCAAGTTTCTCGGCTCGAGTCATTCTCACGGGATAACCGCGATTCCCTACATTCAATAACAATAACGCTTCGGGAATATTCCCTTTTCTGGAGATGGCAAAGAGATCGCGTCATCGCGCAAAATAAACCATTCTACGTGACTCACCTGGCCGGGAGAGAAAAGGCACCTTCCTCCGCTGCGAAAAAATCGTCGATCGGCCTATCGTCACCGGATCGTTGCCGAAATCGTCGTCGGATGTCGGACAATACGAGAGAAACACGGGAGGGACGCTGACGATCGCGAGGTCAGCGAAGTAGAAAGTAACCGCACCTGCTAACGCGGCAACGGTTAAACAAGTACTGACGGCCGCTACCAATCATGGCTGCAAGAAACCGGACAGTGCAGGTTTCCCTTCCGCCTCCATCGTCTGTGCCACCTCTGCCGGTCATATCTTTACCGTTAGGGGAATAACGCGTTAATTCGCCGCTTAGATCCTCCCAGACTATCCTCGCTTCACAGAAATCCATTATGGTTGATAAATACATCCGGTCTCGCGACATATATAATGTGTAACTGCAAAAAGCACTGTGCAACAATATGCCCCACATTGACGGATATTTCACGCGTTCACGCGAATAAAAGGAATTCAGTTATTGGGTCAGTCAAAAAGTTCGACTCGATTTTCAGTAAATGGTGTCGTGTGCATTATCACAGATAAGAAAATGCTGCTAATGTCAATACGTTAGAGAATGATTACAGCAATAATAGTGATCACTTTGATTGATGAGCAATTTACATCCAGGCAATAAAATCAAATTTGACTCACAGATGAAGCTAAACTTTCAAGTTAAACCTTGTGACTGACCTAGTATTTCTTAGAAAGCATTTTATAGAGTAGACTTTGTAGAGTTATATAAACAAGGATTCTTGCTATATATAACAAAAAGCGCGTATAAAAATCATATAAATATAATTTAATACAAAGTAAAACGGAAATATTCATATCCTTGGTACATCTACTTCATACAATGTTAAATATGAAAACTTATTATAACATATATCTCAGTAAGCAGAAGTTCTCAAATTGACGTATTATCTATCTTTAAGATATCATTAAGAGGTCATACTTTATAACCTCTTAATGATATCTTAAAAGTGACTAATATATTGATTTGAGAGCTTCTGCTCACTGGGATATGTTATAATAAGATATTATATGATTATTTTCATCTCTAATATTGTATATCAAATAATTGTAATAAGACAAAATTTTTAATTTAAAAAAATAATATAAAACATAAGTATATAGAGTAAGATAATGTAAAACATCAGTAGAAATCTTAGAATTAGATTAGAAATATGTGATATTACCTGTTCTCCTTTATTGTTGATCTTTTGCATTATTTAGGAAAAAGAAACAGAAGATTCTTTTGTATTCAAACAAAACTTTATATGTAGATTTCTTCTATGTAATTTCTCTCTCTTTCTTCCTCCCCCCTCTCTTTCTCACTCTCTTGCTCTTTCCCTCTCTCTTTTACTCTTTCCCTCCTTTGAGGAGAGATAAATTTTATTGCGTTTTTCATATGCTGGAATGTCAAATTTTAATCTTTCTTCTCCTTCTGCTTTCATATGACCCAGTTATCATATAATTCCTGTTCCACAAACATGTGTTAAATTTTTGTTGTCCTGTGATCCATCCACTAACATGACCGCCATTATACAAAAATTGCGATTCTCACATATCGATCGAAGATCGATATGTTCGATATAGGCGCGACACATAAAGTATGACTATAATTTATACATATTAAATCGTACAAAATATACAAACATTCTGGTATCTATAAGTATTAAATTTGCTACGATAAATATAACTTAATATAACAGTTATACACTTCGTATAATCATTATACTAAGCACAGAACTTTACCCACATTCTCGACAATACGTTCCATATAAATTAACATTTATAGACAATATTTTTGCAAAAATACTCGGAACATATCTTCTACATGCTCGATGATGTTTATTTATGAGAAGAATCGCTAAAAAATTCGTCTTTACCAAACTCAAAATAACGAGAAATATCTGATAGTTGTAGTTTGGGTTAGGCACGTCGCCATTACAAAGTTCCTGATTCTTGAAGGATGAACACAATCGACAAAAATAATCGATTACGAAAAATATCGATTATATCTTAAAAACATTGAAAATTGATTTATTTTAGATCTTTTCGTATTTATTTAATATATAATAAATATGAAAATATATAATTAACAGTATCTAATTGGTCTTATAGACTTGCTCTTGACTGAAAAAGAAAGAGGGAGAGAAAAATAGAGAGAAAGAGATTAATAGAAAGAGAAAGAGTGAGAGAGGAACTACAACTTCGATGTATTGTCCATCTTTATCATACTTGTTAGCTTATTTTCATATTTTGTAGTAAATATAAATGTAATGCGAAAAATATATTTTATTTGATAAGATTGATTATCAATAACTATCGGCTCTAACGATAGAGATATATAGAATAAAAGGTTAGTCATATTTATCGTATTTCATAGCATTTATGATAGGTTATGTTCCCAACTAATCTGTATTCCTAATCTGATATGTTTTCAATAGTCTTTATATTCTACATCTACCTGGAAAGAAAAGCATTTATCTATAATATATAACTCATGTATAAAATTCTGTTACGTTGACAAACAAGGATGGAGATATCAGTATTTAATAAAAATGACTCTGTATTGCTAGTGGGAGAAGGCAATTTTTCGTTTTCTGTGGCATTATTACAACAAAATTTAAACATCAGTTTTATTGCCACCTGTTATGAATCCAGTACGAGTCAAGAAGCTACAAAGAAAAACGTAGAACATCTTCAAAATAATGGTTAGTATAATTCATTAAATTTTCATTAAATCTGTAAATTTATTTAATTAATGTCAATATTTAAAATAAAACATTCTCATTCTATAATAAATTTTGAATTACACTTTTGTTAAATATCAAAATATATGAATGTAATATTTTTATTTGTGAGTTGTGAAAAGGAAACGTGCTTTTCTTTTCAGGTATTTGTGTATTATTTGGCATAGATGCAACAAAATTGGAAGAGTATCCCTTACTGAAATCTGAACTGTTTGATAAAATTATTTTTAACTTTCCTCATGTTGGTGGTAAAATGAAAATTGAAAAAAATAGAGACTTACTGAAAAACTTTTTTGTATCTTCTGCAAAGATGATAAAAGAGAATGGTCAAGTATTAGTGACATTATGCAAGGGTCAAGGAGGAACATCTATGGACAATCCTAAGAGACGTTGGGACGATTCTTGGAAAATTGTAGAAATGGCAGCACATGGAAATTTAATATTAACAAGAATAGAACCTTTTTTATGGCAATGTTTTCAAGATTATATTGTAACAGGATATCGCAGTTTAGAGAAACAATTTCATACAGCTGGCTCATTGACACATTTTTTTACAAAAAGCGAGCAGCCTACAATATATAACATTGCACCTAGTAGTAAAATAGATACTTTTAAACATGATATGGACGATATTACATGGAAAGAGATAACAAGCAATGTCCAAAACATATCAGATTATGATATCAAGTGCATTTATCCATGTACTTTTACATTTGATTTAAATTTATCTTCTGACATAGATTTTAATACTGCTGAGTTTTATCAATTATTATATAACTGTGCAGGATCTATTATTGACAATATTTGTTTGATTGATTATTACTTGTCTCCTATTGACCACAAAATAAAGAGAACCTACAGAATAAATTATAAATCTAACTTCCTGCCACTGTATAGAAAAAGAGTTATTGAATTACATCAAAATGCAATTTCAAATTTTATAGAAGATAAATTTAATGTTACTGTTTCAAGATAATCTGAATATGTAACTGATTGTATAATTATCAATGAGTAAATATATTTTATTAAAACGATATATGTATAAATTAATTTATTGATATACATAATGAGATTTTCACAAAATTTCACCATCTGTAATTACTTTCAGATGCATTGTCTTCGTCGTTTGAGAAATTTTTCTGTATATAATATAGTTCAAAGACAACTCATAAATTGTACTGAACAGAAGAGATATGAAGTTTCAAATGGAAACATATTCAGGATGCTGTGTGTCACTACATGTACTCGTGAACAAGAGTCTGTAGCTAAACCTTTACGTAGTACAAAACAAAAATCAAAACATAACAATCGACAACATTTTGTGGATATAAAACAGGTAAGATGAACATTATTCGACTTATTATTATTAGTCTGTGAATATATACTTATTGTTTATTAGGTCAGAACAGTTGGAGGAAAAGGTGGAGATGGAGAAATAACATTTTTACGATTGTGGGTCAATGATCGAGCCGGACCCGATGGAGGTGACGGTGGAAACGGCGGTCATGTAATATTTAAGGTAAGATTGTTACAGTTAAAACGAGATAAAATATAAAGAATTTAAATTTTGTTTATAATTTGTGTTGTATGGATTTGTACACAAGATAAATTAGATATCCGGCAATCTAATTTGTACAATATACCAGACTGTGTACATAATATATAGTGGATAGTATGCTTTCCATTTAATAACAAATCGACAAATATTCAGTCTTTGTTCCATATTCAATGAGTAACTAATAGCGGATTCGGTCACCTGCACTACACCAGGTCAGTGCACACTGAAGGCTGCTACACATAAAATATCAAAACATGGCATAACAGAAGGATTTTGATATAGAAACAGTTAATATATATTCTACTAATGTGATAATATCATTGTTAGGTATTTAATAATTCAAAATGCTCATATTATTTCTTATTTAAATGATTATTTCATGTAACAATCTTTAATATGCACTGACCCGGTATAGTGTGGATGACCAAATTCGCTATAAGATAGGATGATGCTTGTGTCAACTTATGTTATTAAATGGAAAACACTCAGTATATAATTATATAATTTCATTATACAGGCGACAAAGGATGTGAAAGATCTTCGCCATATACATCCTCTTGTTCAAGCTGGGGAGGGAGAGAGAGGTTACTCTAAGAGTTGCTTCGGTAAAAATGCAGAGCATAATATAGTAAAAGTGCCGATTGGCACAATAGTGCGTGATGTAACCTGCAAAATAGTATGTGACTTAAATCAAGAGGGAATGATGTTTATCGCCGCGAGAGGTGGTGCAGGTGGTCACGGAAATGCTTTTTTTAAATCGGATATACATCAATCACCTGAAATATGTGAATATGGCGCACTCGGGGAGGACTTACAATATGTATTAGAAATTAGAAGCATGGCCCACATTGGATTAGTAAGTATATTTTATGCTCAGATTCTTTTATTATAATAATTGTTGCTATAATAGTCGCTAGTATAATTTAAAAAAATACTATCGCTACTGCATACTGCAAGTATGCAGTTTATAATAGCAATTACAAAAAATTTGTTGTAAAAAATATTCAAAGATGCATAATACATTTCTGTTTCACATTTAGATTGGTTTGCCAAATGCTGGCAAAAGTACACTTTTACAGGCAATATCCAGAGCTAAACCAAAGATAGCTCCATATCCTTTTACTACCTTGAAACCTCACATTGGCATGATACAGTATGACGATTATGAACAAGTTGCAGGTAATTGATGCTTCAAATATAAGAACAAATCTTTCATTTTTATTCTGATCTTATTGTATATTTCAGTAGCCGATATGCCTGGTCTCATAGAAGATTCGCATAAGAACAAAGGTCTTGGTATCACTTTCCTCAAACATGCAGAACGGTGCGCTGCTTTAATGTTTATTATAGATATTACATTGGATGAACCGTGGAGAGCTTTGGAGGTTTTAAATTATGAAATTAATCAGTTTAACGAGAAACTAAACGATCGACCATGTCTTGTTGTGGCAAACAAGATGGACTTGCCAAATGCTGAGGTGAGAAAGTGAAATTAAAACTTTTTAAGTGCTTTTCTTCTTTCAGAAAAGTTTAATAAGTCCTTATACTCCACTCTCTCATCTTCTCTTACTTGCTATAGCAATAACAGTCACGATTTTTTCGTTTTTCAGGTTAATTTAAAATTACTCAAAGAACATACAAATATACCAATAATTCCTATCTCTGCCAAAATGGGCACCAATGTCTCCATATTATTAAGAGAGATTAGAATATTATATGATAGTTTTAAAGTAAATAACACAGAAGAAAATAATGAACTTGGGTAATAAAGAATTCTGGTAAAATCGTGTACAAAATTAGTGATTAATTGATTCTTAACACAATAATGTTAATAGCGCACAGGTTTTGCGCAAAATATAAAATTCTTTACTACAGACCTTACTTGTGGTTGATTCAAGATCGTTGAAAACCACCTGTTTAAGTTCATATATGATTTTCTATGATGTGAATCAAACACGTGCTCATATAGAGGTAACAAGACAGTAAAAACTGATATATCGGCAAGAGTGATTCTTTCTCCTACTAAGTATGTTTTTGTATATAATATACCATCTAATCTTTTTAAATCGCGTAGAAGGTCTTCCTTAGAAAGCTTTGAGTTTGCTTTCATATCTTTCGACATAGATACTCCAAATGCTGGAAGTACCCAAGCGGTGACTGCTGGTAAAATGTGATTTTGCGAGTAGCTCACCCATTGCAAAACCTGACTGGACGCAAACAAATCATCATCACGCCGCAACTGTGAATTTGACAAAAAGAATGCAATAGCACTGCCGTTACATAACGTAACATCGCCTGTCTCTAATATCACATTGCTAGAACTTTTATCATTGTCGACTTGCTTTACAGACACGCATTTGCCACTATATTGCGCGATTATTTGTGCTAAGTAGCACTTAGTACTGCCGATGTTCGCGTAAAGTATCAATTTTGATGAACATTCCGTGTTAAGTGATCGATTGCCACTTTCGGAAGTCTTAAAAGTATTGTTAGCTGTTTTATTGTCTGAAAACAGACACAGTTCCTGATTGCTACTTATAATATTTATGAAATATATTACTACTCTCTATTATATTTTTATGTTACGAAATATCTATGCAATTTCATAGCACCAATTCTCTACTCACCCGTAATTCCAAGTTTCTGGTTAGCAAATTCATTGGCCTTGTGTACTATTTCGTTTAAGCATGCTATATTAATACCAGAAGCTTGCGCGGATTCAGACTTTCCTCCTCCTTTGCCTTGCATCATAGGTGTAATTGCTTGGATCCATTCATTTGCCTTTAATCCTTTTGATACTGCGGACTATACATAATTTTATTCAATATTATATTATTTTATTATTATTTTACACATTTGTTACTTTTATTATAATACTCCAAAATAATGATCTCACCTTAGGAACAGAACTCAAAGCAAATATTTTTTTGACATCCTGATCGACACTTATGAGCAAGGCGCTGGTTTCCGGCGATATAGTTCGAATTTTCTTCAATGCCGAATCTAGAGCTTTCGTATTACTGTACGCTTCCAGCACCTCGACTAACACCTGACATCCAACTTTAGACTGTATTATAGATTGTGCAGTTTCTACGACCGTGTTGGCAATAGCTATCTTTGCAGCTCGTTCTTTATTGTCAAGAGACTTCTTCAATTCCTTCAACATTTCGCGCATCTTATCCTGCACGCAGAAAGAAAAATTACTTTTATAATTATTCACCGGTATGCCAAGTGATAATCAATACACTTTAAGAAATATATAATTACCTTTCTCCATCCGGGTATTATAGCGTGCGATATGTCCTCCGTCAATTCTACTATTTTCTTAACGTAGTCTTTCGAATTTGCTCCAGACTTGTCGGTTTCGATCGTCGTTTGAAGCTGAGTCAATTGATTTTGCAACAATGTTGCCTTTTTAAGAGCCTTAGCTGCTTCTGGTCCAGTGAGCGCTACTATGCGTCTGATACCTTTCGCGATAGCTTCCTCGCTGGCTATAATGAAGTCGCCTATGTGTCCAGTATAATGCAAATGCCTATAAAACAAGTCACGAATTTGAGAAAGTGCATATGATTGTAAAACTCGTAATTTTACATAAACAACACTTACGTGCCACCGCAAAATTCTACACTGGTTTGCGTAGCGGCGGAACTCAAAGGATTCTTCTCTAGATCTTCAACTGGCACGCCCATACTAACAACACGTACCGGATCAGGATACGTTTCCTCAAACATTGCACGTAAACCCTGAATAGTTTTCGCCAGAGCCAAGTTACTTTCTTTAGCATAAATCTCTTTATTGTCCTTGATCATATTGTTTGTGATATTCTCTGTATTCTTTACTTGTTCCGTTGTCATAGGTCCTACCGTGGAAAATTAATAATAATAATTCACATGATATAATTACGTTTTTTACACACTGCTGAACAGACCTACATTTCTCGGCAATTTTCACGTACCTTTGTTTGTAAAATCAAAACGGAGTCTATCAGGTGCAACTAATGATCCTTTCTGATCGGCTTCGGTTCCCAGAACTTTTCTGAGTGCATGATTCAGGGCGTGCGTAGCGCTGTGATTAGCCATTACGAGTCGTCTGCGCGCATTATCTACATTTGCATGGACTCTATCGCCTTTTCTCAATGTGCCCTCGCCCACAGTACCAATGTGTAATACGTAACCGGCTCTGACTTGAACGTTCTTCACTCGTATCTCTGTGGCCTTTAAAACAGTGTAACATTAACTATTACCGCGTTTTCGGTCACACAGAATCAAACAAATTGATCTTTACCTCATCATCGACTTTTACTAAGAATCCTTCATCATATATTTGTCCTCCTTGCTCCGCATAAAAATTGGTCTTGTCTAACAGAATGCCAACTTCTTCGCCGGAAGATACTTCATCGACGAAAGTCTTAGCGCGTCTGAGTGCGATCACCGTGCCCGTGCATGGTGCAAATTCGTACTCTTTGTACACAGTGGTACTGATTACCTTGTAATTGTATTTAGCAGTATCATCCGTAGGTTTAATACCTTGTTTTTGCAGTTCAGTGATGGAATGGACATCTAAATTAATTTGGTCGTCCACTCCGCCAGCTTTACTTTGGGAAATTAACTGTAATTGTGAAAATATTGATGAGGAATGTAAATAAAACAACACTTATCATTATATGCTGTATAGATTAATTGCACAATGAAATATAATACAGAATAGATTAATTACACAATGGAATATAATACCTGTGCTTGCTTTTTAGATTCTTCATATCCTGCCATGTCAATTTTTAATCCTTTTTCTTCAGTCATCAGTTGTGTGAGATCTATTGGGAAACCATAAGTGTCGTATAAGCGCCATGCAACATCACCTGGTACAGTGTCATTCGATTCCAATTTTGCTATCGTTCTATTCAGTAAATTACGACCGCGCAATAGAGTTTTCAAAAATTGGGTTTCTTCCTCATTCACGATATCAATTATACTTTGTGGATCTTTTGTTACTTCCGGGAAAACTTCACCTGTAACAGCAAATGATTAATTTCGGCAAAAATCATAAGTAAAAAAAAATCAATTCTTTTTATCACAATAAAAAGATTTACCGAGAAGCTCTACAACTACGTTTATCAGAGATCCAAAGAACCCTGGTTTAGCATTTAATTTCTCTGTTGCGTAGCGTACAGCACGCCGTAAAATTCTTCTCAAGACGTATCTATGGCATGATAGAAAGAAAATATATTACATCAAGAAGTACAAAAAAGCAAAAATATTTCTTAATAATTCTACTTACCCCCTACCAGTGTTATCAGGCATTCCACCATCCGCAAGAGCAATTGTGATAGTTCTAGCGTGATCAGCTAAAACTCTATATGCCATATCGACTCCATTAACATCGTCGGCTCCTATCTTACCTTGATAAGGTGGTGCACCTGTACCTTTCTCAATTGCAGCGAACAAAGGCATAAATAAGTCTGTATCGTAATTAGCACGTTTATTTTGAATCACTGACACCAATCGTTCTAGACCCAGACCACAGTCTATATGCTTTTTTGGTAATGATTTCAAATTACCATCTGTTTCCCTGTATACCATTAATAAGAACTAAGAAAAATTTGTTAAACTTAAAATATATAAGAATCTTGTAGAATGTTTTACCTGTTAAATTGAATGAATACTAGATTCCAGATTTCTAACACATCAGGATCATCCATGTTTACAAGATGAGCTGCTTCTCTATTACCAATGCGATCATAATGTAGTTCACTGCATGGTCCACAGGGTCCAGTTTCACCCATTTCCCAAAAATTATCTTTCATATTTCCTGGTAAAACATGCGAGGCTGGTATTCTATAAATTTTGTAATGCAAAATTATTCTTTACTATTAAATAAAAGTTGATATAGAAGTATAATATATTGATATAAATAATTGAATATAATATATCGATAAAAATGTAATATTCATAAAAAAAAATTAAAAAATTAGTGGAAAAAATCACACAAAGATAAAATTATTTTATAAAATTTAAAATAATGTGCAAAATTACTAATAAACAGTTTTTTCTACAATAAGCTTAATTTTAAAGTGATTAAATACCCAAGGGAAAGCCATAATTCCTTGCACTCATCATCAGGTGCTAATCCATTCTTTTCATCACCACCAAAATATGTTACATATAATCTGTCAGCTGATAGCTTCAACACTTCTGTTAAAAATTCCCAAGCCCAAGAACATATCTCTTTCTAAAAGTATAAAAACATATACTTTATGATTTATTATATATTAACATATGGAAGAATTAATTGCCTGTTCACTATACATAATACAGAAGATTACCTTGAAATAGTCTCCAAAAGACCAATTTCCCATCATTTCAAAAAATGTATGATGATATACATCTTTACCAACGTCATCTAAATCATTATGTTTGCCACCAGCTCTAATACACTTTTGACTATTAACAACACGTACCCATTTTGCCATATCACTATTAGGATCAACTGTCCCCAGAAATATAGGTTTAAACTAAAAAATATATTAGCAATAAAATATAAATTAATTATATAAAATATTAGATAATACAGCATTAGATGCATAAGTTAAAATTATATCAATACTTGATTCATTCCAGCATTCGTAAAGAGCAAAGTTGGATCATCATGAGGTATGGTTGAACTTGAATGTATATATTCATGTCCTTTGTTTTTGAAGAAGTCAATATAAGCTTGTCGTATCTGTTTTGCAGTCATAGTAGTTAACATTTTAATATCCTAGAACCTCTCTTCAACTTCTGTAAAGCTGTAACAATATATTCAATTATGCTGTAATATGATATTTGCCATATGTTCTCAAATTGCATCAGCTGTTCAGATAAAAAAAATTATAAATCTAGATGAGGAAATCTGAGGAAATAAAATAGTTCCTTTTAAACGAGATACAAACATATTTTATAATCATTGAGAATATACCAAATTTACCAAATTAATAAGAGGAACTAATCACAGTTTAATGCAAAGAGAGAAACTTACATTCAGGACAAACACGGAAGTCTCGTCAAACACAGGTGGCTTACACGACTGATATCCACTGGTATCAATAACGGAGTTAATGACAATGTGTGCGTAAAAGAAAGTAAAAAAATTTAGAGCACATGTACAATACACACTTGCAATTGTGATTTCGTGCCGGCAAGCGGAAAAAATCAGTCCGCCGTTACCGGTATCTATCACCTGAAACGACGGCGAACAGTCTGCTAAACCGGCTACTCTCGTCTGAGTATGCTTGATAAGTAAACAATAAGTAAAATCACGTAAAATGCCGTTTATGATAGGTAAAGATCCTGTGCGGCGAACGATACAATATTTAATGTCTGGCAGGTTAATCCTGAAGGATAAAATACAGATATTATCTATCAATTATAACTCGCGAGGTGAACATCATAAAGGTGCAAGGTAAAGTTTTAGGTTATATACGAAGTTCTGCTTAGTGCAGTATCTAATGTATCTATTTTTATCTATTTTTTTTTATTTTCTTCACAGAGATTTCGTATATTGGCATGTATGCCAAGTACAACATAAAAATCCAAATGTACAAATAGCTACTATTAAAAACATGACACCATCACCGTTCATAAAATGCTATTATGGTAATTAAGATTTGAAATCATTATTTCAAACAAAATTTATTTGTGATTGAGTAACAAATTTGAAAGTAAGCTGTACAATGTGAAAAATTATATATATGCTTTACAGAAGATGGCAAGACAATGTTAATAGATATAGATAGCAAGACTAAAGACGAAATACTTCAACATCTTATAAGAGTCATAGGAAAATCAAAGGATGTATTAGCCAAGGAAGCTATTGCACAAGAAAAAAAAGAAAATCCAGCAAATTTTGGTGTTGGTTGTGTAAAAAGTTGTATGTGTAATATCTTTGGACAAGTACCTTGTCCTTCTGTAGTACCTCTACCAGATCACATGCGTGCGAAGAAAATATTTGAGAAACTAAACAATCAATAGACAAGTTATGTATTAAAAATTTTTTATTATTAAATAAATGCATGAATTTCAGTTTTATTTGTTTCCAATTTTAAATATTTTCTTTAGAGAAGTGAAAAAAAATTAAAATCATGCAAATATCTTATAATTGTTATGTGTTACACCATGTACTATACATACATGTTCTTGTGTATTCATAAGCACAAAGATGGAAATTAATTTATACATTTTATATTCCAAAGCTTGTCACATGTGCGTTCATTATAGAAAAAGACCCATACATTATGAAAATACACTCACACATCAATTTACATATATCGAGCATTATATCATTGATGACTTAAAATATTTGTAGCTTTAGTATGTTTCATACATTTACGTAGGAATCAATTTGCATTTGCTCTATCCGCAATTTAGGAATCGTATTTCGTATTTTCTGAAGAATAAAATATTTTTACAAATATACAAAATCCTCTGATATGACAAAACAGAACCTTTGATGAACAATATACATATTAAATATAGATTATTATATGAATATAAATATCATGATCACGAGAGAAACAAATGTAATAATGGATTATTAAATAAAAGAAATATGAATATATAAATGATAGTAATTATCTTCTTGATTTATGACGATTATATGGTTTGTTATTATGGTAATAACTACCACGACTATGATAACGTGTAGAAGTGGACGGTTTTTGATTTTCAGCTCTCTGATAGAGATGCATAATTGGCGAGCCCTCCAATGGTTTATTCAACTCAAACTCCTCTTCTGACTCTTTCATCAGTTTGAGTTTTGCTTGAATTGCTTGAATTTTTGTTTCACGACTGCAAACAACATATTAATGCAACTTCTATTTATACAGACTTTACTTTTGTTATTTAAAGAAAGTATTGAACTGTTATATGTACCTTATCTTTTTGTCTTCCTTTTTTGCACCAGCTAAGGCAGGAATATCTATTTTTGGTTTTGGCTTATCCATTTCAGACTAAATAAAAATAAAAATTAGTTTATTTATTGTACTTAAATTATATTTACAATTAAATACTAATTAGAAAAATTATAAGATTTTAACGTTTGATAATGATAAGATATATATCATGCATAATTGAAATTCACAGAAAGTATAAATCTGAAAACATGTGACAAATACAAATGTACTGTACCTCACTAACACTATGTGCCCATCTGACAATAATATTCTTAGCTCCAACTTTCAAGTTATGTAAAGTCTCTTTTGCTGTTTTGGCATCTTGTATTGTTTTATAGGTAACAAATGCATATCCTCTTGGTTGACCAGCTTGAGGTCCCGACCGATGAAACAGTAGGTCGAACTTTTCGATTGTGCCATATTTTTGGACAAGTTTCAGGAGTTGGTACCGGTTGACAAAGAGAGAGTTAGTTTTTTCTCAGATTTTTCTAATATAAATTATAATATTCTTTGAAAAAAAGCATTATAAAATTGAGAGAAAAAATGTTGGAATTATATAAATACTTACTCATTAATTCTCAAATCTAAATTACCCACCCATAAGCGCCTGTCTTCGACTTGGTTTGACTTTATAGGTTCTAACGGAAGAGGAATTTTAGCAGGTGCCTGTAAATGACAAACATTGTTTTACTTGATTTATTTGACTTCTAAGTCTAATTTCAAAATAAACACAAGCTATTTAAAGCCTTTTGAACATACTGATACCTCACAGTTTAAAACTGAATTTAAATTACATATTCAAGCTTGAATTTTATTTAAATTTTAATTCAAACATTAATTTATATCGATATGTATTTATCAATTATTGTTATTGCTCATTATAAACTATAAAGAAACTAACCTAACCTATTTACATTAAAAACAAGCTTACCTCCATTCTGACGAGGCGAGGTTTGTTGTTATTGAATTAGTTAAATTAATATTGAGAAACCTTTTTTGTCGATATCGATCAGTAACTCTAATTAACAAAGCATCATTTGCTTCGAATTATTCATGAAACCTTACAGAAGCTACATTAATTGCTTGCTACAGAGTTTGCAACATTCAAAGGAAGATTCGAATATATACACTATTCGCTGTCATATCCGATAATTACTTTTAGAATGTGGCAAAGATGAAAAAGCTACACATTTCACGCGATTTTGCATTTTACAAGTAATTTATAACTCTCACATGTTTAATTTAATATTGATTTGTATTTTTTTGCAATATGGCACGACGAAATCACAGCAGGTCCGTCGGACTCATCGATGAACAGTACTACCTAAAAATTAAATGTCCGTCCGACTTGTCGTTGAGTCGTATTATGACCTAATGGCCGGTATTCATAATCCGATCTTATATTTAATTCGTATGTACTTGATCGGAAAAAAACTCCGGTTGGAAAACTATTCTTTTAAATCGTTTGTATTTCGTATGAAAAGTTTTGAAGTGCAATTAAAAAGATTTGTGAGTCATTCTATTACTTGTAATTAATTGTTCTTTTTTGGACCATGTATTTAGCCAAAAATAATGACTAGAAGTAAATTAAACAAAGGTTCGGTATTGTATCGTTTGTATTTCGTCTGAAGAGTTATGAAGTATCATTAAAAAGGTTTGTGAGTCATCCAAATAATTTTAATTAAATATTAAAAAATCATGTATTTGGCCGAAATATCGATCTCAAGTGCTGCTGTGGAAGGGGAGAGGTGCACTTGGACACGGTGTATTTGGACACAGCCAATCACAGCACCGTATGATTAGAGACATTTGTAGGGTCCCTTGGAACAGCGACTTGTGATTGGACTGTGTCCAATTGCCCCGTGTCCAACTGATATACACCCCTGTGGAAGTATTGTCAGGCACAATCGATGTACTATCTAGTATTTCAATATTCCTGATTCTTTTTCGGGTAATTATGTACAATAAGGCCTTTTTCGAATTTTGATATTTTTTGCAGCTTTTTTGGTAAAAATATTTATTTTGACTCCAACATTAATAATCAATCGGGAGAGTCCGAAAAATATGCAAGTTATATATTGTTTTAACTTTTTTTTAAATTTTTCTTTCACTTGTCAAACGTTGCTGTTTTCTCACAATTTAAACAAGTTACTGATCTTTTAATCACATTGGGCGCATTCAGTAGAAAAAGCGCTCAGTGAGCAATCAACGATTATTGGTTCTTGCTATTAGATCCCTAAATCTAGACCAATTACATTGACAAATTACTCAACTGTTGTGCAACTGTTGAGTCTGCTGAATGCAGCCAATGTAAATGGTCTAAAGTTAGGGATCTAACAGTAAGAACTAATAATCACTGACCGCTCACTGATCAACTATGGCTGTTTACGATAATTCGAGTTGGAGTAAGTACGAGTTAGTTTCACCAGAGCCGAGAAATATGATAGATACAACATCTAATATTTTCATGATTTATGACAACTCAATGCTGTCCGATAAATCGAGTAGAGTAGAGTTAGGGTAGTATAGCGGATAGTATATGAATTAACAGTATCAGGTAACATAGTTTCGTAAAATATATAACAATAATATTACGAAACAATGATTTATTACATTTTAGAAAAATTAGAAGCACTAAATTAAATTATGAAAAGATATCATGTATTTGTGAAATATTCAATAATAACAGATTAATAATAGGTTAGAATAATTGTTTTCTACTTTTGAATATTTTACAAATACATGATATCTTTTCATAATTTAATTTAGTGCTTCTAATTTTTCTAAAATGTAACAACTCATTGATTCGTAATATTATTGTTATATATTTTACGAAACTATGTTACCTGATATTGTTAATTCTTATACATATACTATCCACTATGTTATCCTAACTCTACTCGATTTATCGGACAGCATTGAGTTGTCATGAATCATGAAAATACTAGATGCTTGTGCCTATCATATTTTTCGGCTCTAGTGAAACTAACTCGTACTAACTCCAACTCGAATTATCGTAAACACCCAATGTTTCCTGAACGCAGCCATATCGTATTCTTCAAACCACGGATTAAGCTCTTTTTGATCCTCGTGCGATGAAAGTATCGGAAGCCTTTGCTCATCTCGAAGTTTCAAAAAATGCCGCAGTAGTCGTAATCATCTGTAGATGAATATATCTCTTGATAGATTTATAGAAAATCACTTCCACATCACCCGGAAATATTGGGTGTTCCGATAATACCTCTCCGAGTCATTTCCCTAGAGCAGAAATAAGTTATAGACATCACCATCTACTACTATTATGTGATTCATGACAACCCAAAGCCAGTGCTGGGAGTTCGGGATATTAGGCCTGTTCTCTGTAGTTGCACTGCTGAACTGGTGCAATATATTGAAGTGAAACAAATATACGTTTTCTCACTCTAACTTATTGCACTAGTTCAGTAGTGCAGCTACAAAGAACAGGCCTATTTTCTAGCTGACAGGAGCCCTTTTGCGCATATGTGAGATGACGTACACGCACCGGCGTTAATGCCGTCCGAATATCCGTGTGACTCGCACACGATAACGCGTCACTCATACACTGCTGCGTGTAGGTGAGCCATGAGCAGCACGGAGTGGCGGAGAGAGCTAGCGGTATACGATCGTCGGACGCTTGGAGAGGGAATAGTGGTGGGAGTCGCGGCGATCTTCCATCCTCTATCGCAAACGTAAGAACGAGAGAAATAGCATTATAAGACGTCTGGACAGAAATGCCGTCCTAAAATACGTGTGACACACACTAAGAAAACGCTTGACTCACACTGTCTCGTCTATACGTGAGCAATACGCGGTGTCCCGACGACTGTTTCGCTCGCTCGAACGTTCAT